TTTCCTTGAAGTTCAAGAGCTAGAATTTTGGACGTGTCTCTGTCACCATCAACGTAGCACGTTTTTGTTGAAGCAGGTAATTTCGGAGTTTCATCCTTGTCTTTGACATTTGCAGATGGGACTCTTCTTGGATAACCGTGAGCCAATGCGAAGAATGAGAGACAGGTTGCCACACATTGAATCGTCACTTGTCAAAGTCGGCAATGCACATGTTGATCAAGTCAAGATAGTTCAAGTATGTGTTGAAGATATTGAAGGGTGTCAGTTCGGGTGTCAGCAGTCTTCAGGCAACGCGCCCGTGGATCTGGCGAGAGAGGAGTGCCAGACGGAAATCGTGAACTTGCTGATGGACTCATGGACACAGCCTCTTGGCTGCACGAGTGGGCCTCAAGCACTGCAGTGGCCCAAGGATGTCAACCTGTATAACATGATGAAACTTCTGGCACTTGTGGGGATGAAAACGTGAAAGGGACGTGGCGTGAGATAGTGCAAGTCCGGACTGGGGGATGTTTACGAAGTCAATTTTGGACAATAAAGCTGCTAAATATGTTTTTGTCGCAATCCACTTGCCAACAAGTGTGAGCATAGATTGAGCAGGAATCGGATTGAATTCGCAGACTTGATTTGGTACTCATGCATGGGATTCTCTGTGTTAACCCCACTGACCCTTTCCAGTGCCATGGTCTTCGGAGACAACATCAAGAATATAGGTTGGATGTTCTTATGATTGTCTCCAGCTACACATGGCCTAAAGGATGTGACATGTCACAGATGGGTATGCCCCGAAGTAACAAAAGGACCACAGAGTTGGTCATGTGTTCGTTCAGAATGAGCTTATACTTCTCAACATCTCCGTATTTCAGGTCGCTCCAACCCTCCAAGCATTTTGAAGTGCAAATGTTCTGCGCACCTTGTGGCCGCCCAAGGCATGAACCGGAAGGCCTGGCACATGGAGTGGCTGAGCAATGTTTGCGAAACCGCTTGATGTTTCTTGCTTTGGTGTTTCATGTGAGCCGCTGTGAATATTCTTGGCATAGTTAATATTTAATAAGGAGTCTAAGGTGAGCCACGATCCATCAGTTTGGAGGAATGAAACATACATCTCTAGAAGATGTATTTTAATATTAAGCGCGAAATCATGGTATAATACTGAAATGATCTTGACAGCTACCCATGCTCATGCCCATGGGCATTTAGACGGCCCCGGCCCCGGCAAGAATTTCAATAAAGTATGTTGCTGTATCGACATGTCAATGCTTCATTTTGGAGAGGCGCATAGTCCAAAGTAAAATTTGATGAAAGTTGCAGTTCTACCCCTCAACCTGACCTCTTAGCAAGATCACGTCACATCTGTAGCAGCCTTCGACATCGTTTGAATATGAATTTGAGAAGGGGAACTGTGTCAGCTGCATTGACCCGCAGCTGGAATTAGCTCCCGAGTTTGTTTAATCTTTGCTGATTGTATCCCCATTATTTGTTGCTTAAAGCCCCATGGAACAGCATCATTTCCTCGCGTTTGTTTGCCTTCCCATCAGGCAAAGTTCTCCTCGGCTTGACAAAGTGGTCTTCGCGCAAGCTTCCGACGGTGTCCAAAAGGGGATTATGGGCCAAAGGTGCCCTTCAAGTGCATTGTGTGGTCAAAATTCGCTGCCCAACTCCTTCAGGGTCACCAGGTATGGGTCAGAATTTCCCCTCAAAATTGGATGGTTTCAACATGTTTTAACAACATTCAAGGAAAGATGTAACCCGAAACGACCAGAATCTGTGGTTCCATGGCGCCTCATACAGAGGGGATCCCCATGGAGTTTCGCCATCTCAGTTTGGGACAAGGATTGAGCTCAGCAAGTGGCTACGACCTCCTGCAGCCATCAAGGGTATAGCCTTCACTTGCTGATTCCCGTTCCAATTTGTTGTTTTGTAGTGACATGGTCTGACATGTTGGGGAAACGATCGTGAAATGACCTGCAAAGCAATAGCTTAGTTTCATGATGATCACGGCAACTCAGCCAGGACTTTCTCCACTGCAAATTGCATGAAGTATCAAGAAGTAAAAAGCACCCCACAATTTGCTGGATAGGTGATAATCCTTCAGTTGTAGTGGTATTGCAGCTCCGAGAACTGTTGGGTGATGTCTCGTTTTCTTTTCTTTTCTTTTTTCTGTGGTGAAGCTTGATGCGGGGTCAAAGTGCCATGGATGATGTGCATGCAATGCGCGATCGATGTCACACCGTTCCATTTTCAGGTTCAAAGCGACATTGGGACCCATCAGCTCTTCACATGTTTGTGCCAAACCATGATCTTCGTCATTGATCTCATTACGTTTGAAATTGGACTTTGGTTCCCACTACCTCAAATTGCCAATTTCAATTGAACCCACGGTTGGGTGGGCTTGTTGCCCAAGGGGACCTTCAAGGCTTCAACATAGCATCCGCTCTACCAACCTTTATTGAATTGAACATTTTACTACTACACTTTCACCATTCGACGGGAAGTCCTGTTGCACAACACGTGCATACAGTGATGGCCTGCGATACGTTCACAGGGTGTCCCAGATGCTGCGATGCCAACTAATTTTGATCCATATTCATACCACATTCATACCACTTTTGCTGGAAGGGTCGCGTACATGGAGTTCTGTTTTTTTTTCAAAGGCATTTCCAAAAATAATCGACAAACTTGTGAATTGTGAATTTGCGTGCCCGTCTGGGCAATCAGTGCGGCAATTCTTCTCGAAGGATGATGTATCAGCTTCATCTGTTGAATGGGTTCTGATTGAGACGAAGCAACACAATTGTCAACGCCAACAATACCTAGAATGGCGGTTCCCAATGGGTTCAATCCCAAAATATATGTTCAAATTTGGATGATTTGGGGTAACCCCTTTTGAGGAAACATTTATATTAGCGGCACAAACTGGTCACCGAAGAGTAGTTTTGATCTCTCGTCACTGCTCAGCATGAATCTCTTTGGCATGTGGGCCTGCTGGTCTCGACATGGAGAGGACCTACCAGATTTGGCGGAACTTCAGAAGGCAAATGACAATGTGCAGGCCTTTAGCTGTTGTGGTTGGATGCCTCTTTTTGAAACCACACTTCGGCCATCTTCCAGTATCCCATAGGCATCCAGAAACAACCTGCTTCGCCACCGTTTCTTGTGAACATGAAATCCAGACCATAATGTTCGTGGTCTTCATGCCCTGGTAAGGCCCTATTGAAAACATTTTGTGATGCTCTTCGGAAGCAAAGACTTGAGCGCCAGAAAGTGCAGGTTCAACTGGTGACTGGAGATTTTGAGTGAAGGTGACCAACCGATTAGAAAGCAAATTGATTACCAAAACAAGTGTTGACAAAGGTCAATTGAACATCGTTCTATCCTGGTCCCGTTTTTGTGGCTTTTCATGATTTCATGTGTTGAATCGTTGTTATTACAACAATTCTGCTGCCCTCTGTTGGGCGGAAATTGACGATTTGTGGGTGTCTGGTGGGCTTTTACGTGGTTCCATTTTTTACCTTGTGCTGTATACTCAGAGAAACCCTAGCCCACCACAATAATTCCTTCCCGTACCGTTTTTCGAAGGACCAACTGAAAACTGTCGAACGCCAGCTTTCAGATGCAGGTCGCACGCAGGACCCAGCATTCAAGGGCATACCACAACATGGTTGCATTGTTGGACAGTGCAGCATCATTTTTTCAATGCAAAACGGTATGATGCAACAACAATTTCTTGGCCATGTCTAGGTTTTGCAATTTTTGCGTGACGCTTCATTGAAAAGTGAGCAATGTACTTGTTTGTATCCGTCACGGCGTCAGAGCAGGGTGGTTGTCAAGTGCATCTCCCCATCTCCTCCCTCCTTGCAGGATGAAATCGCAAAAAAATATCTGGAAGACTTTGCAGCCCATACGCTAGCCTGCGCAAAAGCTGAGGTGCGGAACAGAGATTCGCAGAATGCACATACATGTCATACATGCTTGTATGCTCGTGAACCATGATCTAATCTAGTGTTCATGTGGAAGGCTCAGCAGGAGTTCATGGGATTCCAGAGATGTCATCAGTGAATATGGGACAAAGTGGCAACCATGGTACAGTAAAGTACAGTAGATGGAAAGATCCGGCATGTTGCATACATGGACATGATGGACATGACATGACATGACATAGTAGCTGGCCAGTGTTGATTCAGTGATTTCATCCAGTTGGTGTATTTCATCCCTGCAGGAACAGGTTCGGGCAGTGCTTGACGACCTCAAAAAGGAGGCCGAATGAACTGGATCAAAGGACTGACAGCTGAACATATTCTTTGCCATCCTGGCCCCTTCCTTCAATTGGTCCTTTAGGTCTTGCTATGGGTCAGGTTTCTAGACCATGCTACCGCTAGGATGCGGGTCCTGTCCGCAACACATATTCAACATGAATGCATCAAGAAGCAATCGAATCGAAGATGCTATGTCAATGGACACCATTCACGCCAGTCCATGCAAACCGATGGTTTCCTGTTCGTATCTAGCATACCTGGGATGCAAAGAAACTTCGACCGACAGCGATCTTGGATATGTTTGAGTATGACTTCCACGTTTTCATGTCGCTTCAGTTGGAACATGAGAAGTAGACGGTGCTGCAAATTTGTTTCCTAAAGATGGGGTTTGGAGTCATTGTCTGTTGGGCCCGTTGCGTGTCCGTACATTTTTTCTAATTTAAATATTGAGCTTCTTAATTGTGGGTTGGGTCTATCTTTAACTTTTATTGGCCACAGATACGGACTTGTAGAGGGTGGGGCTGGCAGGTGGGCCGTTTTCAGAGGTTGTTTAATCAGTCGAAAGTCTTTTTATCATCCTATAACATGCGCTTGCTGTGAACATGTGTGAACCAGTCTTCGTGAATGCGATTTCGGACAAGGTGGCAACGTCATCCTCTATGAGCGCGGCACTTGCGGATTCTTCTTTCCGACAAGACAATCAATGATTTGAGGCAAAGTACATGATTTACCTCCCACAGACATGGAATGTTCTCAGGATTTTTGGGAGCTCTGCCATGCTCATGCCAAGGCCAAGACGCCACAGCTGAGGACAATGCTGTTGAGAAGAAGAACAGGTTGGGCCGCAGGCTCAAAGTTGAGATGAGGCCGAATAGCAAAGAAGCGAACAGCCGGATGGCCGGCAGAGTTGGTGTTGACGTCGGTAGTGAGATATGCATGGGTTCTGACTTCTCCTTTTTTGCCAAGCTCAATCCTTATTCACCCTTGCTACTTGTTGTATACGTGTTCTTTCGTGCAGCAGTGCATCTTATAGTTGGTTGGTGATATTATGCCACACTTTTACCGAACCATTGCAACTGCATCAGTGTGCACATGCAACTTGCATGAACGTTCTTCACGTTCTTCACCCAGGCCGGACAGAGCTCCACAATGCTGTCTGCCAGGGTGACGAAAGGCGCGTCCAGCAGCTCCTGCAAAACCGCGCATCTGTTGATGCCAAGGATGAAAGCGGCCCGAACCTCTGGAGCGTATGCGTACATAAAGTTGCAAGCTGTTGTTTGTTGCAACTTCAAATTTAGAGTTTAGGCAGTCCATGACACTGAGAGTCGAGAGGTTTGAAAGAGGAGTGGAATGCAGTGAAATCATGGACGTGGAATGGAAATCAGTTTATCACCATTTCGTGTCAAGTCCAACCCGAGGCCGGACACCATTGCACTTGGCCGCCAGTGAGGTCTCCGGACCAACCAAAATCATTAAGCTGCTGCTAGAGGCGAAGGCCATGACTGAGGCCAAAGACCTGGGCGGCCGGGAGCCTCAGAGCTCGTCACATGGAGCATTTGTTTTTGGTGAGTTTTCCAATGCATTTAGCTCTGACATGGACTCGATGTTCCATCTTAAAGTTATGAAAAACTTGCAGCCACAGACTGGGCCAGGTCAAAATATTTTTTTTTCATTTTTTTATCGTTTTGGTTATCATTTTATTTTTCATTTTTTTTCATTTATGTTTTCATTCATTTTTTTTTATCATTTTATTTTTCATTTTTTCATCATTTTTTTATCATGTTTTTATCATTTTATTTTTCATTTTTTTATCATTTTTTATCATTTTTTTTATCATTTTTTCTTCCAGTGGTGCAAAAAAAAATCCAAAAAATGGAAAATTGCAATTTTCCTCGAGTTTTTTCATTTTTTTATCATTTTTTTATCATTTTTGCTTCCGGTGGTGGAATTGATGAAAAATGATAAAAAATGATGAAAAATGATAAAAAAATGATTAAAAAAATGATAAAAAAATGATTAAAAAAATGAAAAAAACTCGAGGAAAATTGCATTTTTTATTTTTCGGAAAATTTTTGCACCACTCGAAGCAAAAATGATGAAAAATGATAAAAAAAAGAAAAAAAATGAAAAAAAAATGAAAAAAATGAAAAAAACCCGAGGAAAATTGCAATTTTTCATTTTTTGGAAAATTGCAATTTTCCTCGAGTTTTTTTTCATTTTTTTTCATTTTTTTTTCTTTTTTTATCATTTTTTTTATCATTTTCCATCATTTTTCATCATTTTTCATCAATTCCACCACTGGAAGCAAAAATGATAAAAAAAATGAATAAAAAATTAAAAAAAACTCGATGAAAATTGCATTTTTTTATTTTTTGGAAAATTTTTGCACCACTGGAAGCAAAAATGATGAAAAATGATAAAAAAATGAAAAAAAAATGAAAAAAAATGAAGAAAACCCGAGGAAAATTGCAATTTTTCATTTTTTGGAAAATTGCAATTTTCCTCGTTTTTTTTCATTTTTTTTCATTTTTTTTTCATTTTTTCATTTTTTTTTCATTTTTTCATCATTTTTCATCATTTTTCATCAATTCCACCACTGGAAGCAAAAATGATTAAAAAAATGATAAAAAAATGAAAAAAACTCGAGGAAAATTGCAATTTTTTATTTTTCGGAAAATTTTTGCACCACTGGAAGCAAAAATGATGAAAAATGATAAAAAAAATGAAAAAAAATGAAAAAAAAATGAAAAAAAATGAAAAAACATGAAAAATAAAATGATAAAAAAAATGATAAAAAAATGAAAAATAAAATGGTTTTAAAAAAATGAATGAGAACATAAATGAAAAAAATGATAAATAAAATGATAACCAAAACGATAAAAAATTAACAAAAAAATATTTTAACAATTTCCAATGTGTAGCTGGCTCGGTTTTTCATAATCTTGAAGGCCATATCTTTGATTGATCAAGTTGCACACTGCAAGGTGGTATACATAACATACAGTAGTGATCAGAAGTGTCTGCCCGCTCCTGTGTCTCCAAAATCATGAGGAGGTATAGGAAAATGAAGTGCCTGTAGGAAAGGTTCCAGACTGGCATGTGTGTCTGTGTTCTTGTGTCTGAGTGGTTTAATGACTGGATGGCAAAATGACTGGCTGGCCTGGCCAGTTCAGGCTCGCATGGTTGAGTGACTGAATGGCTGAATGATAGACTAAGTGCTCCTCTTTGAGCTAGCTCTTTTCTGAGCTATCTCTGTCCTCAACCATCCTTTCGTTGAACAATCCCTCTCATCAATTATTGACTGAGTGAAGGACGGAGTGAAGGACTGAGCCAGCCTCTTCTCTGAGCCACTTTTCTCTGAGCCGCATCTTCAAGGATCCAGCTCTCGGCTGCCTCGTTTCGAAGCTGCTTCTTCTCTGAGCCAATTGTTCTTTGAGCCACTCCACTTCCGTAATCTGAGCTACTGCCTCCCCAGCTATTTTGTTTGAGCTGTCTTTCCTAGGCTATTTCTTGCCTGGCCTAACTCTTCTCTGAGCTACTTATATGTAGAAAAGCTGTCAGCTTTTAACATCGCGTTTAGCATGCAGCCATTAAATTCGGCTAAAAGTAGAGCGCAGGCAGCAGTTCCCAAGGTGCTTTGCAACCCTAAAATGCATTCCACATTTGCTGGCCTGCAGAGTTGCTGAACGAAGTCTAGCGGGTGTGTGAAGCATGCACTACGAACTTGCGACGTGGCTCAGAGAAGATGGGGCTCAGCAGAGTTGGTAAAGAGAAGATATATCTAAGGTAGAGAAGAGCCAACTCAAAGATTGGGGTGCTCAGACCATCAATCCGTCATGCAGTTGCTTGATCATGTAGTTTTTCTGTGCCCGACTCAGCGATTCAATCATTCAGCCGGTCAGCCATTCAATCTTTAATCGGACACCCATGGCAGCAAGCAGCCCTTCATAGATCCTTTCCTCTAGCCGCCCGATATGTTCAAGACTTCTTTCTGTTTGCGGCGGGGGACTACGGCATACGTGGCATACCAGTGTTCGGAGATGGTCAATCCCCCCATGGATTCTTCAAAGTTTCGTGCTGGCCCAAACTAAGGCCGGACACCACTGCACCTGGCCGCCAGTGAGGTCTCCGGATCAGCCAAAATCGTAGAGCTGCTGGAGGCTAGGGCTATGACTGAGGCGAAGGACCTCAGCGGCTGGGAGCCTCAGATCTCTTTCACACGGATGTGAGGTTTATGAGATGATATGAGGGTGTATGAAGTGCGCGAGTATGCTCAGTCTGAATGGTTTCAATTTCAATAGGCAGTGATCATCGCAGAACAGAACACCTTTGCAAATTGGGGTTGAAAACGATGGAAGGTTTCTATCAACTTGTCAGGTTCTGTTGGTGTCAAAATTTGCTCAGGCTTCACTCCATTGAATTTGGCTTGCGACTTGAAGTGCGAGGAAGCAGTGGCTGTTCTGCGGGGCGCTGCTCCTCGATTGGCAACGCTTGACTTGCTACATGCATGCAAGTGCCATTGAATTTGATCTAGCCGCAATATGTAGGTCCAATCTCGTTTTTTGTTCGGGATTGTTTCGTCTTTTCGAGTTTTGCTTTTCAGATTTTCGTGTAGGGGTCAGAGGGCATGTCAGGTATTGTCAGGTATGCCAATGTGATCCAATGTGGAAACAAGACAACTTCACAGGAGAAATTGGAGGAAAGAGGGAAAACCGCGGTAAGTTCTTCCGTAGAGACTTTGGTGTTCCATTTTGTTTTTGAGATTCAGCGAGCTGTTCACTTGTATTTCAAGCGGCTGCTGCACCAAGGAGGGCTCACCAAAAGTTTCAGAAGGGTTGACAGAAGATCACATCGGGACAGAGGCGGTGACGCGTTTTGTTGTTTAAAAAGTTTCCAGCTTCTGGATCGACGAAATCAACAAATTGATGATTCGTTTGTTTGAACATGTTTGGATTCACCCACTACAAGCTCATTTACCTGAGAATGTTTTGTGTATCTTTGCATATCTTGAATTTCGGCCAAGTTTGTTTTGATGCTGTTTCGCAAATGCTCTATTCCATCAGGGTTGGCAAATCCAAATGTACATGGAGTCAGTAGCAATAGACCCGTGTCCGAAGGCGCCGCTGGATGTCCTGCACTTCTTGCCGAAGCACATGCCAGCCGTGGCCTCCGATGCAAATGAAATCACCTTCGAGGGAATCATCATGTCTAGCGCAGAGCAATGCTGGACGTCGTTCCCTGGCAAATTCAAGGCTGGATGGGATGCGCTGGTGAACGTGCCAGCTTTTGGCGACAGTGTTGCATGCGTTTTCTTGTGCGATTCCCAGTCTGGCCTTGGGGAGCACAAGAAAGATCCGAAAGGTGATGGCAAAAAATGCTATTGCTACCGGATTTATGGAGAGCGAGCAGATGCAGAGTACAAGAAGTTTGGATATATCATCTATGTACAGAAGAAGTATTCAGAATGCAGTGATCTGGAGAGGAGCAAGCTGGAGCAGAAGGCCAACGCCATGGATGCAGAGCTTGTTTTTGAAGATGATGACAGCAGCACGAGGGACACAAAGGAGAAGCGGGCCAAGGAAAAGTTTGCCCAAAAGAAGACCGCAGCATTTGGCTGCAGTTGGTACGATTTGTGGTTCCAACGTGTGAGAGAAGCAGTACAACGAGGCCAACGGCTAAAAGTCGTGTTTTTTCCGGGTGAAGTGATGAAAGGCAGGGTTGATATGGATGCACTGGCCACAGCTGACCTCTGGGATGGTGTTGGGCTTGGAACGTCCCAGAAATGCGAGGTTGCCACACTTGAGGCACAGGTTGAAAAAGTCTTAAAGCGTTAGTGTTTCTTGATGGTTTTTATTGCCCTGGACATCCCTGGACTGGCCTCAGCAGTTTGATGTTTCAAGAGTTTCAAGGCACCAATCCTTGACAGTGGATATTGTGGTGCTGTACCCTCCGACAAGATTTGACATGATTTCACCAGTAGACCCTGCAGAATCAGTTCTCCAGGGTCTCCGACACAGAAGGTATATAGTTAGTTAAGTTAGTTATAGAATAGCCACCCTCAGTTTGCTACACTTTCTTTTCGGGGATGGAAACCTCATGAAAAAACAACGCCGTGTGCCAACATTTGAACTTGCTCGTAGTCAGAGTCTTTTTGGGGGTTGCTGAAACCAAACTTGGACATATTGCTGCCTTTTTTCTTGGAATATCTTGGAATCGATACACCTGAAAAAAGTAGCGGTGAATTGTGGACAATTCAGCCAACTTTACTATTTGCTTTGAGGTAGCCGTGCTTTTTGTAAAATAACTCGAGGCTCTGGGTCAAGGCTTGACATTGCTGGTATGTATTCTTCAGGTATCAATTTGGTAGCAAAACAATGCAAGATATATTTCCTCATATTTCTCTTGATAGCGTGGAATGTTGGACATGACACATGGTGTATCAGTTTAGCCGATTAACCCATCTTCCCCGAGCGCCCACAAGGTAGGGAACACCATTTTAGCGCATCTGGGCCCCACTCTCTCATTTTTTCATGTTGATTTCGACCGGGAAGAGGGATGAACCACGTGGTCTTCAGTTTCTAAACGTGATGTTTGTGAATAATGCCGCTAAAAGCTTTCCTCACGGCAAAAGTTTGTAGCCTTTCTGAACTTCTGAACTCATTAATTACGATTTGTGTCAGAGGTGTGTTGGGTGATTTGCCCTGAAGAGGCTGTGATTCTGTAGGCAGCCCAACCGGTACCTTCCTTTCAAACTTTGTGTTTTTACTACAGGGACCCAAGGTATTTCGCATCTTCCACAGCCTGCAGGCAATGAGGAAGGAAACTGGCGATCCCAAGTGGGACTACGATCCAGTAGATGTGACCGATTTCCTCATTTCACAATTCAAGGAAGGTGATTTGGTGGAAGCGTTGGACGCGGACAGCCGGCGTTGGCGCAAAGGCCGCATCCTGAAGGTTCCGCAAAGCGGGATGACGAAGGATGACAGGCCATTGTTGAACTCATAGATTTTTGCGACCCCAAAGTCTTGCAGTGTAGAAACCAATGTCACGGAATGGGGTTTTTCGAAGTTGGGATTCGACTTGTTGGTTACCGAGTTGGTCTTTGAATTTTTTCTCAGTCTTGTGGGAAATTGCCGTCCAATTTTGGCAGGCACACCGTGCGACACACCTGGAACATCATCTGCAACTGGTCCAGGACAGAGTTCCAGTCAGAGCACCTGAGGCCTTTGGTGCAACATACCAACGGCTTTGAGACCATACTGCAAGGGTTCCAGGATAAGAAGATGCTGCGGTCTCTGGAGGAATTCTTCAATTTTCAGGTGAAGCAGGTGCAGCGATCTTGGTCCAATGGGAGGCATTCCATAGCAGTGAAACTGAACATCAGCAACCTTAGGCAAGCACACAGCTTAAGGGACAAGGTCCTGAGCGGAGATTTGGATCTAAAGATCAATGATATTTTGTCCATACAGTGGCAAGTAGGAATTGATAAGAGCGCTTTCTTGACCTTCTATGAGAGATCCCTTCTGTCATTGACGGATCTGACAGAGCACCAGAACGAAGTTCTCCAAGAGCTCAGAGATGCAGGTACTCATGAGCAAGGTGTCATTCACCTGTCTGCAGCGGCTGGTGCGGGGAAAACCTTCATAGCGGTGAAGTGGGTCTTAGACCATCTCAGAATGTCCTCGGGAAAGGTGCTGTACATTGCACCCAACAAGGCCCTAGTGTTTCATTTCATTCGGTGGCTATTGGCCTTTGCGCATGCAGACAGGGACTCATTATCAAGATACCTCTCAAGACTCCTGGTATTGTATGAGCCCTACGATCAAGCACAAGTGCCTGTCATCAATGGCAACCAGATCCTTTTCGAGTCAGCCACAGTTGAACTGGAACCATGCCAAGTCAAAGTACTTGACGAAGCGCATTGCATTTTTTGCGCGGACACGGACTCACTGATCCAAGACCGCTTGAAAAGTTACAGTGCGAGAAGCACAGTGCTGCTGTCTGACCTGTCCCAAGGTTCGAGTACCACATTTTCAGTTGATCGACACTATCCCAACAGGCGTTCGGTCAAACTCATAGAAGTCGTTCGAAGCACGCAGCGCATTGTTGCAGGAGCATTGAGTTTTCGACTCGGCGAATCAGGCGTTGAGAATGTTGACAGCTTGGGGACACATGGGCCACCGATCAAAACCTTTTTATTTGAAGTCCAGGCAGAACAAGACAAGATGGAAGAGTATGCCAAGCATACTATTGCAGCCATCAACTATGTTATTTACCACTTTCCAAGCACAAACCTGAACAATAGAATTGCTCTGCTAGTGAAGGACAATGATTTCCTCGGATCCTTGAGTGGAAAACTCCGACGCCACCTTCAGCACAAGTTTGCCAAGCGATATTGCTTGGTGTCGTATGAGACATCCCTCAATTTATTACCTAGCCACTTGAGCACTAGAGCATCTGCACAAGGTGTGCAACAAGAGCAACAGATCATTTTGGACACTGTCAAGAATGCCAAAGGTTTGGAAAACCTCATCGTGATCTCAATTGGGCTTGATGCCCCCATTCAGGGTGGTTACGAAGATGGCGCTACAAGATCCTTACTCTACCAAGGCATCACAAGAGCACAGCTGGCGTCAATTATCGTAAATGAGTTTATGCCAGATGGCTGGCTGGCTTTCCTGGGCTGTTTGAGGCTCAGCAAGGACACTTTCGATAAAAAGGCAGCCTTTGCTGAGACTGACAAAGGAGCAGCTGCTGCCATGCTCAAGGTGAAAGACAGTCGACGGGAGGTGCTTTGGACTTAATCATCGGGAACTGCTGAGACTCAGCGGGACTCCCCAACAAGATCCAACAAGATTAGTTGAAAAAGCATCACAACCATAACATCAATATACGGAGCAGAGACAAGAGCATCCCCGGGCAGTTTGTGATCCTTGATGTGACCATACGGTCTTTCCCATGGGTTGAAGTTTCAAAACCGCTTGGCTTCAAGCAAGACCAGATATAGATTATTTGACCATATTTGACCATGCCAATTGCAAAAGATTCGTTAAGACAGGGCATGATGGTTCACTGGCAAATGTCATCCACTCCAGTCCCGCAAAGCTTGCAAGGTTGCCGAGGCCGCCAAGACCTTAGAAGAGGCCTGTTGTCTGCTCTTGTCGCTAGGATGTTCCATTTCAACTTTTAGTCTTGCGGTAGAAAAAAATCTGGTGTCCTTAAGGATGCCTTCGATTATTTGGCAAGATTCGCGGCAAGATCCATAAGATGATCTACTTAAAAACCTAGAGCGGTGGGTGAGCTCCACAGAGCAATCAAACCAAATAAAGTAACTTGCCAGTGGCATTGCACGATGCACAACAGTGCTGCCACAATCACTGCATTTGAGAAGGCGTTGGCAACACCTTTTTCCTAGTTTGAGCGCATCTAGTTCTGCTCAGAGTCGCTGGATTTTGAATATCGAATTTGCCAAACAGCTGTGAAGGCCCCCGTTTTGCTAGACCTTCCAGCAAACTCCAACTGTTTCATCTCTTTCACTGCAACGGGTATCGCAAAGTAATACATCACATGATTCAGGCTCTGGGGGCAAATCCTTAACAGATTCAGCTTCTCAGTCGCTTATATGATATAAATTAACCGACAAGATGAAGTGTTGATTTTGCTTTGCAATAGCAGTTCCTTGATTGAAGATCCTGGCTAAAGTGGCACAATGCTTATTATCTGTTTGAACCTTGTGATTCAACAGTTTGCATTCCCGTGAGTGAAATTCGTTCTCCAGTGGTCGGAGTAGCTGGGCGAAAATCAACAAGTAGCACGTTGGCTCCTGCCTCCCCATCCACCTTTCGACAGGAACCAGCAAACATCTCTGTGGCCCTGAGCTTGGAAGATTAGAGTGGGTTGGTCCGAAAATTGGGGATGTAGGATGCCAAATTTTCTTTTTGAAATGAGAAAATGCTGATCCATCATGGGATTTGGGGTGCCTTTTTTTCTCGGACCTGCCTAACAGTTGTGAGTTCCGCGGCTGCGTGGCGCGATCTTGTCATTGCGGCTCAGGAACCAGAAATAGCCACGCAGGCGAGGGTAACACGCTTTATTGAGCTGTAGCTTGTGCTTGTTTTTTTTGGCACATCTCAACTGTCAACGAGTACAAACGTCAAGTGAATTTCTGGTTTTGTCCTCATCAGGTCAAATGTTGTACCGTGCAGCGCCGTATTTTGGTCATGTCCAGAGCCAGCTTGAATCGTTTTGATCTATGTTTTGGTATGATTTGGTTCTTGAACAATGCTGCTCATGGGGGGATTGATGCAGGAGCCCGCAGTGGTTAAAGTGCTCCCAACTTCTGTGTGGGACACCGACGACAACACGATCAAAGCCAAGATCACGACACTGAAATTTGATCCACGGTTCACTCAGGACGCGTCGCAGCGACATCAGCATCATGCATTGCAATAGCAGACGAAATCTTTATAAATCTTATTAAATCTTCAAAGTGTGCGTTACTTTGCCTTAAGTCCGTGATAGGTCATTGCTTTAAAGTTCCATGAAGTTTTTCATGGCAACATCCATAAGTGTGTAAACCATGTCGAGCTGTGACACCAGGAAGATTCGGAAGATCCAGAACAAGTCGAAGCCGACGAAGCGGCAGCGGCGAAATGTCTGGGCCTCAGTCCTTACTGACTAAAGATAGAACTTCATGCTACCTCAGGTAGAAGATCTAGAAGTAAATTTGAAGTCGCACTTCAAGTTCCATAACATTGAACATCAGGAACTCCAAAGTTCAATAAGTTCAGGTTTCTAACTGATTCAATCGAATTTCAATAGTAGCAGACTTACCAGGCTTGGACTTAGAGACAACAGAAAGATCAAAGGAAATAAGGAAAAAGAATCGTCCTTTCGGTTTTATTCCTCCGCGCGCCGAGACGACGACATCGCCCACGCAGCGCTCAACGGCGACCTCCCGGGCGTCCGGGGCCACCTGCGCCGGGACCGCGGCAGCGTGGACCGACTGGACCCGGTCGAGGACCTGTCAGCGCTGCACCTGGCAGTACAGGAGAACGGCGCCGCCGGCCACCCGGCGATGGTCGCGTTTCTCCTGGCGAACGGCGCCGCCGTGGGCGTCGTGGGCCGCTACGGCCCGGGAGCTCAGCGGCGATCGCCGGTGCTGACGCCGGGCGCCACTCCGCCGGTGCTGAGGTGCCACTCCGCTGCATGATGCAGCAGCGAACGGCCACGCGGAGTGCGCCAAGCTGCTGCTGGCAGCGAAAGCCTCCGTGGAAATCAAGAACGACATCGGCTGGGGGCCTCAGCCGATGTCATCACCCGTTTTTGAACACCGCTTTTCACCGGCAACCACAATTTCAGATATAACAGGTGCAGTTCAACGAATGTGGCATGCCTCAATGACTTATGACATGTTTTAAGTTTTTCAGTTTTTGTCCAACTTCAGCATGTGGTTTCCTTGGATTTATCATCTCAGGTTCCCATCTTCAAAGTTCCCTTTGAAATTCAAGAGCCGTGATTTTGGGGCGTGTGTCTGTTGAAAAAAATTAGGGTTTAGAGATGTTTAGAGTTCATCCATGTCTTTGACATCCGTGTGAGCCAAATGAGAAGAATGAAACAGCGCTTTTCGCACATGGTTTCCACACGTCAAATTCTGCAGTCCGCACGGCGATCAATTGAAGTGATATTTGGGAAAGGGTCACTTCGAATGTCAGCTGTGCTTCCCAGGCCAAACACCCCTGGATCTCGCGCGCAACACGGAAATGGTGAACTTGCTGAGGGGAAAAGACTCTTGGCTGCACGGGCGAGGCTCAATGCAGTGACCCAATGGTATAGTAGGTGGGAATATCCATGGGTGAAACATGGTGAAACTGCTGGCGCTGGTGGGAATGAAAACATGAAAGGCGTAGGGATAGTGTGAGTCGGTACCAGGGATGTTTATGCTAGCGGGTGGAAAACCGCGCGTGTAGTCGTGCTACTTTTTCCCGAGAGCGCCTGCGAAGGGTTCTTCGTAAAAAAGCAGCCGTTATACTACATCTTCACACCTTCACACCTGCAGATCTAGATCTTCACACCTTCACACCTGCAGATCTAGATCTTCACACCTTCACACCTGCAGATCTAGATCTTCACACCTTCACATCTGCAGATCTAGATCTTCACACCTTCACATCTGCAGATCTACATCTTCACACCTTCACACCTGCAGATCTAGATCTTCACACCCTCACATCTGGAGATCTAGATCTTCACACCTTCACACCTGCAGATCTAGATCTTCACACCCTCACATCTGCAGATTTAGATCTTCACACCCTCACACCTGCAGATCTAGATCTTCACACCCTCACACCTGCAGATCTAGATCTTCACACCCTCACACCTGCAGATCTAGATCTTCACATCCGCACACCTGCAGATCTAGATCTTCACACCCTCACATCTGCAGATCTACATCATCACACCCTCACACCTGCAGATCTAGATCTTCACACCCTCACACCTGCAGATCTAGATCTTCACACCTTCACATCTGCAGATCTCCTCTCGCTCTTCTTCTATTCTCTCTTAAGGCGGGGGCGGTGCCGCCGGAGCGCCACGAAACGCAACCCTTTCGGACGAAATGGACGTTGGACGTCCAAAACCTAGGTAAAATTGCGATTTTGAAGCGTCGCGCGCAACCCTTTCGCACGAAATGGACGTTGGACGTCCAAAACCTAGGTAAAATTGCGATTTTGAAGCGTCCCCGGCAACCCTTTCGCACGAAATGGACGTTGGACGTCCAAAACTGAGGAAAAATTGCAACTTTGAAGCGTCCGGCGCAACCCTTTCGGACGAAATGGACGTTGGACGTCAAAAACTGAGGAAAAATTGCGACTTTGAGGTGTCCCGCGCAACCCTTTCGCACGAAATGGACGTTAGACGTCAAAAACCTAGGTAAAATTGCGATTTTGAAGCGTCCCCGGCAACCCTTTCGCACGAAATGGACGTTGGACGTCAAAAACTGAGGAAAAATTGCAACTTTTATTGGTCGCGCGCAACCTTTTCGCACGAAAGCGACGTTGGACGTCAAAAACTGAGGGAAAATTGCAACTTTTATTGGTCGCGCGCAACCCTTTCGCACGAAATGGACGTTGGACGTCAAAAACTGAGGAAAAGTTGCGACTTTGAAGCGTCCCGCGCAACCCTTTCGCACGAAATGGACGTTGGACGTCAAAAACTGAGGAAAAGTTGCGACTTTGAAGCGTCCCGCGCAACCCTTTCGCACGAAATGGACGTTGGACGTCAAAAACTGAGGAAAAATTGCGACTTTGAGTTGTCAATCGCAACCCTTACGCACGAAATGGACGTTGGACGTCAAAAACTGAGGGAAAATTGCGACTTTGAGTTGTCAATCGCAACCCTTACGCACGAAATGGACGTTGGACGTCAAAAACTGAGGAAAAATTGCGATTTTACTTGGTCGATCGTAACCCTTTCGCACGAAATGGACGTTGGACGTCAAAAACTGAGGAAAAATTGCGATGGACGCTTTCGTTTCTGTACAAGTGTCTGTGTGTAAAAGCGTCTGCGTGTAAAAGCGTCTGTGTGTAAAAGCGTTAGTGTGTGAAAGCGTGTGTGCGTGTAAAGCGTCTGTGTGTAAAAGCGTTTGTGTGTCAACGCGTCTGTGTGTAAAAGCGTTTGTGTGTGAAAGCGTGTGTGCGTGTGTGTACAAGTGTCTGTGTGTAAAAGCGTCTGTGTGTAAAAGCGTCTGTGTGTAAAAGCGTTAGTGTGTGAAAGCGTGTGTGCGTGTGTAAAAA